ACTACTGAGTCAGCCATGATGAAGACAGAAGACAACGATGCACTTGTATTCACTGCAGATGTCAAGGCCAATTAGCACCAGATCAAACAGGCTATGAAGAAGCTCAGTGACGTTGCTATGGCCAAAGTCAACACCTCGATCAGGCCTGATGGAAAGAAGAAGGCATATGTTCAACTGGTTCCCTACTATGATGCTGTAGATGTCGCCAATAAAATGGGGTTATCCAAACTGGGTTTATCTGGCTAATTCTGAATATAAATTTTTTTCCCCGTAAAAAAATAGATAAAAGTTTCCTGCAAGCTTTTTACTTGATGGTTTTAGCAGCTATTGATGATCATCATCTAGATTCATTGGTTCATAAGGGTCTGCAAGATGGTGATGTGCTGATTTTATCATTTCTTCAGCATTTATTAACTGAAATAAAGAACAGTCCATCATTATTTTTAAATTTTTATTTCAATCCATTATTATTATTGTTGTTCTTTTAATGCTTAAATTGTTTCATCTTTGGTTGGTGAGAGCTCCTTAAAGTTGGGTACTGTCTTTTAACACCACCCACTGGCCTCTGATAGCTTTCTTGCTTTCTGATACAAGATGCCTCTGTTTCACTTGTGCATTTCATCTCAGCCCTTTCTCCAGGGCCTAGCATGCTGGATGCCTTCACAGGACACATATGATCCAGAGGGCAGGAGACAAGGCCTGGCACATCAGGAACATTTTTAGGAAACCGGGCTCAGGAAACTGCCAGGACATATTCTCTAAAATAAAAGATACATTATTTCATCTTGTACTTCCTTTCACACAGAAGGAAGGATAAAACTTAGCTTTGGGGGGACTATTCCCTCTTGGGAACGTTTGCTTTTTCAGGGGCTGTTTCCCACTGAGGAATACTGCTTTGGCAGCCAGAGCAGGAACGGGTTCTGAGGTGATCCAGAAGACCCTGCGGTGTTGGCGGTGTCCGCTGTGGAAACAACAGTGCATCGAGTTCGAGGAAGATCCAATGAGGGAATCACAAGACAGGACCCCAGGGACCAGGAGCAAGGCCATGCCATCTTCAGCAGAGAACTGTACTCTCTTTGAGAAATAACTTGTGCACCACTGGATCCTGGTGAATGTAGTGGAATAACTGGACATGCAACACCATGTCACCATGTGGCCAGAAGTGCCCTTTGTGAACGGGGTCCTAACAGCCCCATGAAGCATAAGATGAAGCAGGTCTAGTAAAATGTAAGATGATAGTGTTTGTCCAGAAACAAACACAAAAATGACCAAAGGCACAAGCAAAATGCATGAGCAGGTAGCCCAGATCCTCACTTACCACCCCAAATCCAAATTGCTGCACTCCTGCTCCTTCAGCTCACAGGCGTACGGCTCTGCGGGGAATCTGGTGTGACTAGCTAAAGGAGGGGAGAAAAGCTTGTGATCGGTTTACGGATGAGCTGGCTCAATATGTAGGTGTAAGCAGCTCATTACAGCCACACTTAGGAACGGTTTTAAAAGGCAGTGGTGAGGGCCCTGGCCAGGTGGCTCATCTGGCTCAGTTGACTGGAGCATCCTCTTGTTCACCAAAAAGTTGCAGGCTTGATTCCCAGTCAGGGCACATAACTAGATTGTGGGTTTGATCCTCAGTTGGAGGGTGGAGAGTTCTGGGAGGCAACTGATTGACGTTTCTCACATGCATGGCTCCCCCCCCCCTTCCTTTCTCTCTAAACAATCAACTTAAGAGAAGAAAAACAGTGGTGAGGGAAAGTTCTCCCAATAGGCAAAGCTTCAACCTTTTCCACTTTTCCACCCATGGTTTGAGGTTTGAATATAGGTGGAATCATAGGCAGTAATGACTGCCTGACCATCTTTTTTTCCTAGAATAAAAAATATGAAAAAGTTAAGAACAAGAAGGTCTGCCGTATGAACATATGGATGCACACATAGGAGTGGGGATAAAGTGTAAACATCGTTGTATCACATATTAACCCCCACCAGAGAAAAGGCACTAAATAACTAACAAAACAACTCAGCTGATTGATATCAGCCAGCTGCAGTCATCAGCCACCCCAATGTTGCACAAGGCGCACAAGAATAAAGTGGCCATGGTAGTAGAGATAGAAACTATCCATTGGGCCATTAGCATGAACCCCCAAGGTTTATTTAGTTACTGCCATCAACAAATGTTCATTCTGACAGCAACAGAAACGAATGTGGAGCCCTCAAGATGGCACAATTCATCAAGAATACCAACTAGCCACCTGGTGGTAAATGGACACAGTTGGTTCTTTTGATCTTAAAAGATCCAGTGATACATTCTTAAAGGAACAGACATATGTCCCAGGTGAGGATGTCCCTTTTCTGTCTGCAGGGCCTCCGCTAGGATCATGATCCAGAGGGTTACAAAGTAATCTTTCAAGAGGGGATCCCATATGACATCCTGTCAGAAAAGGGGACCCACTTTACAACAAAGACTATATGAGAGTGGGCCTGTGACCATGCTTCACTGATCGTCAACATACAGCACCACTCAGATTCTGGAAGCCTCATGGGGCATTGGAACAGCCTGCTGAAGGCAGAGCCCAGGTGCTACTTAAAGACAATACTTGCCCTGGCCAGTTTGGCTCAGCGTTTAGAGCATTGGCCTGCAGACCAAGAGTCTCGGGTTCAATTCCGGTCAAGAACATGTACCTCTGTTGCAGTTCAATCCGCGTCATGCGGGAGGCAACCAATTGATATGTTTCTCTCACATCAATCTTTCTCTCTCTTTCTCTTTCTCTTTCTCTCTATCTGAAGATAAATGGAAAAATATCCTCGGACGAGGATTAAAAGTAAATAAATAAATAAATAAATAAATAAATAAATAAATAAATAAATGCAATACTCTGGGAAGACTGGGTGCTCCCCTCCAGGAAACAGTGGAAGCGTTGAATCATGTAGCACTGCATCCCCACGAGAGGGAAGACACAGGTCTGGGGGCCAAGGAAGAGAATCAAGAATGACCACACTTACCATCACTTTTATGAAACTCTCCTGGTTTGCCATCTCCTTCATCGGCAGTTGCTTCTCAGTCTCTACTAACAGATATATAAACTTAGGAGGTGCCCCAAAGCTCTTTCCCTCTCGTTCTTTCTTCCTAAACTATATTATATACTGTCTGTACCATGACAGCTTCCCAGTTCTATCTCTTCCCAATGACCAGTTGGAGACTCTTTGCTTCCTGTCCCCTCCCCCCGCAGACTCTGCAGGGTTAGAGGTCTTGTTCCCCAGAAGAAGCACACTTTTGCCAAAGGGCACAGCAAGGATTACACTGCATTATAAGCTAAGCCTTCTGCCTGTTGCTTATTGGGCTCCTGGTGTCTAGAGACCAGTAGTGAAGAAGAGGAGTCACCATCTTGACAGCGGTAGCTGATCCCGATCATTCAGAGGAAGGAGGACGGCTGTTATGTATGGGACCGTACGAGCTACTTGGGTTCCTCTTGTGACAGGAAAGTGGTAGGAACAGCAACGAGAAGGCGTGGTAACCAGGGGCTCGGACTGCTGGGAGAGTGTGTGGGTCATGCCGTGGGGGGAGCCACGGAGGCCAGCAGAGGTGAAAGGCCGGGGTGAGGGGAGTCTAGGATGGATAGGATGAGTATCAGCTGCAGCCCCAAGATCAACAACAAGGGCGGGGCTGCAGTTTTTCCCAGCACCTCCTTCTTCTGAATTTCCCCTCGGGAAGAGAGGCCCACTGCAGTTTGGAGGGAGCCACCCTTGGAGCATATATATGATGGCCTGAAAGGTGTAAATGGTGGACTCTGAAAGGCAAGGCAGTGTTCCCACATCCCCCTCGAGGAAGGTTTTGCTGCCTCACTGGGAAGAGTGTGGTCAGCGGATACCGTCTTCTGACAGAATCTAATTGTCGTTCCTTCAGGGTCTGTCTCAGCTACAGAAAACTGCCTCACCAAGAGGCTTGTCTTTCCTGGGCACCCTACACCAGGCAATTGAGTAAGGCAGGGTATATATATATATATATATATATATATATATATATATATATATATATTTTTTTTTTTTTTTAGTCCTCACCCTTGGATATTTTTCCATTTATCTTCAGATAGATTGGGAGGGAGGGGGAGAGGGAGAGAGAAACATCAATATGAGAGAGACACATCGATGGGTTGCCTCCCACATGACCCTGACCAGGGTACGTGCCCTTGACTGGAATCGAACCTGAGACTCTTTGGTCCGAGGGCCAACGCTCTAACTGCAGAGCCAAAATGGCCAGGAGTAAGGCAGGATTTAATGGTCCAGTCATTTCCGCTTGACCCAGGGACAAAATGACAGGTCTCGCTCACTCCAGAGCTCCCCCTAAGCTGGCCAAGGCTTTGACAGACCTGCATTGCCGTCTGACGTCTCTCTCTGCTCCTTCCTGCTCCTCCTCTCCTTTCCACTGAGCTGTTTCCTACCAGTATCTTGCTCTCCCGAACTCCATCTCACGTTGCTTCAGGAGAACCCAAACTGTGACAGCGTTTCTGCTGTCACAAATTTATTTTACAAATACAAATGAATCCTGCACTATCGTTAGTGCCAGAGCAGAAATACCTATTTTAAAAAGTGTTTTTGAGCTCAGAGAATATAACTGGATCACAGCACAGCCAGTGCAGGGTAAAGGAACTGTTTTGCTGAGGATTTTTAATGTATTCAGCACAGCCTTCAATCTGATGTACTTTTATTTCTTGCCATCGCTTAGTCTTCAATCTTGAGGGGAAATGTTATAATTTTATTTTACCACAAGTATAATATATTGTCTTCCAGCGTGGTTTCTTCCCTAGAAAACAGAATGGAGGTATTACTCAGTAACAAGGTGGAAAAATCAGTTTCCTCTGAAAGAAACGCAGTCCCTATTGGTTGCCTCCCTCAGATATTTGCTTTTCTGTTTCAGTTACGGTAAGCTCTTTGGAGTATAGCCAAGTTCTCTACAAGTTCAAAAGGACAAAGTTCTTTCGGCGGCTTAGTCTTTTTGAATACTGTTTCAGAGGTTAAAAATTAAATTTGAAAGAACTATCCGGGGCAAAGAAGCGTGCACAGGGGAGATGCAGACCCTGAAAGTCTCCAACATGCAGCTTGCTCGAGTTATTCTGTTACTTTTGTGCTTCAACTTAAGTTTCTGCAAGGTAAGTAATTCAATATTTTTGCAAATTATTTTAAGAAAATATTTTAAGTATTATAAAAATATATAAAAATCTTGAGACACTCTTTTGATTTAAAGATTACATAGTTCAGTTACCAACAGTGGCAGTAAATAGTAAAAAAGATTTTTGTTATTATCTTAATAGAAGACCTTTAAGAAATTGCATTCTGTATGCTTTTATCTGTGCATAGAAATTAAACTGAGTGAGAATTTTAGTAATATAGATCTGTAATAGAGTAATCAATAAATAAATAAAGAGAGAAAAAGAAAGAAACTGCTGAAATCAACAACAATAAACCTTTCCTGGACTTTGCAAACTGGCTCTGTACTGGGATACTATCTCAAGACCAATTACAATTCTGTTTTTTTTAATTAATTAATTTATTTATTTATTTATTTATTCTGTTTTAGCCTTCACTTCATGCTTGCTCTGAGCCTAGAGATTATCTACAGGTGTAATCTTAGGGACTTATGTCTTTTCTGAGTCTGCATCCTGCCCTAGGCATGTTTGTTGCTTCCAAAATTCCTGATACACACAGGGGCTGATGAATGTCCTAATTTCCCATAGATATTCTTTCCCTAACTTTTGTTGTTGTTGTTGTTAATCCTCACCTGAGGATATTTTTCCCATTGATTACACCATTGATTTTTTAGAGGATGTATGAACAAATAGAGCATTTCAGTAGATATAAAATTATAAAAAGAAATCAGATAAATTCTGAAGCTGAAAAGTATAATAATGGAAATGAAAGACTCACTAGAGGTTTTTAATAACAGATGAGCAGGCAGAAGAGGAAGTGAACTTTAAGATCAGTGAATTAAATTATCCATTCTCAGGAGTAGAAAGAAAAAAAGAATGAAAAAAATTACAAGAGCCTAAGAGATCTATAGGACACTATCAAGTGTACCAATATATCCATAACAAAACTCAGAATGAGAAAAAAGAAAGGCTCATAGAGAATATCTAAAGAAATAATAGCCAAAAACTTGCCAAATTTGAGAAAGATATGAATCTACAGATTCAGGGAACTTACTTGATAACACAAAGAAATCCACACCAAGACACATTGTAATCATGCTGTTAAATGCCAAGGAACAATACAGAAAATCTTGCAAGCAGCAAGAGGAAAGCAACTAACTCATCATGGACAGTGAATGTTGATAAGATTAGCATCTCTCTCATCAGAAATCACAAAGGCCAGAAGGTAGTGGGATGACATTTTTAATATCCTAAAAGAAAAGAACTGTCAACCAAGAATTCTATATCCAACAAAGCTTTCCTTTAAAATTGGAGAAATAAGGGGCACCAGAGCCAGTCTGATGGAAGGACCAGTGGTGGAGGAGGAGGAGGATGGAAGTAGTGGTGTTTGTCTTCTCAGCCGGAGTGTCCACACTAATATAAGACAAAATTGACTTTAATTGTCTCTTGGTACAAGAGACAAAGAAAGACATTAAATATGAAAAAAAGAGTCAGTTTATTAAGATATAAAATAATTATAAACATATACACACCAAACAATAAAGCTGAAAATATATGATTTGAACATTAATTGAAGGGAGGAAGAGATGATTCTATAATAATAGTTGGAGGCTTCAATACCTCACTTTTCATAATGGATAGGAAATCTATACAGAAGAGCAATAAGAAAATAGAGGACTTCAAGAGCACTTTAAGCCAAACTGATTGACAACTAAACATATATAGAGCACTCCATCCAACAACAGCAGAATACACACTTTTCTCAAGTTCACATGAAACTTTCTCTTGGATATAAAATATATTAGGCCACAAAACATGTCTCAATAAATTTTAAAATATTGAAATCATATGAAGTAGTTTCTCTAAAGACAATGGAATAAAACTATAGTAATAAGAAAAATGGAAAATTCACAAATGTGTGAAAATTAAACAACATAATCTTAAACAACCAATGGCCAAAGAAATCACAAGGGAAATTAGAAAAACTTAGAGATGAATGACAACAAAAACACAGCATACAAATTCATATGGGATGTGGCAAAAGCAGTGCTCAGAGAGAAATTCATAGCAGTAAATGCTTACAATAAAAACAAAACAAAGATCTCAAATCATTAATCTACCTCTATGCCTTAAAGAACTAGAAAAAGAAGAGCAAATTAAATCCAAAGCTAGAATAATATCTTTAAAATTCTTTTTTCTTTATCTTTAAAAATTTCTCTTTTATTAATGTATTTAATTATTCATTATTGCAGCAGATCTATATACAGGTATAATTTTTTGCCTTTTATTTTTATCCTCACCTGAGGACATTCTTGTGTTTATCTTCATATAAAGCAGGAGGGAGAGATGGGGGAAAAGAGAGAGAGAAAAACATTGATGTGAGAGAGACACAATGACTGGTTGCCACCCACATGACCCCAACAGGTGCCAGGGACAAACCGCAACTGAGGTATGTGCCCCTAGTGGGAACCGAACCCAGAACTCTCCAGTCTGTGGGCCAATGCTGCAACAGCTGAGCCAAACCAGCCAGGGCACTTTTTAAATTAAATACATTAATGTAATTTAAAATATTCATCTATTACTTTTATCCTTATTTGTATTGTACTGTGTATTTTATTTTTCTAATTTTTATTTGTTACAGGCATATTTTTATATATATACAGTAGTCCCCCCCTTATTCATGGGGAATATGTTCTAAGAACCCCAATGGATGTCTGAAATAGCAGATAGTACTGAACCCTGTATATATTATGTTTTTTCCTGTACATACATACCTATGATAGACTTCAGTTTAATTTATAAGTTAGGCATAGTAAGAGATTAACAATAATAACTAATAATAAAATAGAACAATTATAACAATATATTGTAATCAAAGTTATGTGCATGGCTTTGGCCATTATTAAGTTACTTGAGCAATATTAACATTATTAAGTTATTTAAACACTGCAGCAAATCAATATTTCTCTCTCACATCAATGTTTCTATTTCTCGCTCCCTTCCTCTCTCTCTAAAAAATCAATAAAAACATTTATACATAAATATATACATATAGATGAGAATGTCTAAGCCACTTGTCCATTTGTGAAGATTATGTCAGCTAAAACTAGATCACATAATTCATAATGTTCCTTTGTCAAGCACATGTATATCATCCTTTGTCTTCAAACAAAAACCCTCTCTTAACTTCATAACCCCCTCAACTTATCACCTCATTTCTCCATGCCCCTTTAGATCTAAACTCTCAAAAATATCCTGTGCTCAGTTTCTCTTTTTCTAATCTTTCCTGAACCTAGTCAGGCTTGAGTTTCCACCATTCCACCAAAATCACATTAGTCAAGGTCACCATCCTCCTGGAAATGCAATGGACACAGCCGCTGATTGCTACTTCCTTCTCTTTGCCCCTGGGCCACCATTCTCTGTTTATTGGTCTGTTACTTCACTGGCCACATCTTCTCATCTCCTCTACGAAACCTCAACATCTGCCCAACCTCTAAATGTTGGAGGGCTCACGCCCTCGCACGGTTTTATATTTCATTCACAGAATAAGTCGGTCTTTGCAGTAGCCTACAAAGTTCTAAACCAATTGCCTCTCCTCCAATATTCTGACCTCCTATCCCTCTGCTCTCCCTCCAGCCGAGAGCGCACCACACAGAACATATGCTTCCACCCCCCAGCTTTCCCCCAGCTGCTTCCTCTGACCTTGACACTTCACCTCTAGGTATCTGTCTGGCTTGTTCACTCACTGTCAGGTTTCTGCTCTAAGATAAACTTCTCCCCAAAGTCTTCCCTGGCAACCCTATACAAACAGCAATCTTTCCCTCCTCTCTCCACCACCTCTAGCTCTCTCACCCTGCACAGAGTTTGTCACCATGGAGTTTATTCATTTTTGTCTGCTGCTCCTAATAGAAATGTAAACTTTTTTATTTCATGCTCTTCACAGTTGTAGCCCCAAGAGATAGAACAGTGCCTTGCACACAGTAGGCTCTCAATAAATATTAAATGAGTATGTTATGAATGCAAGCACAAGTGCCAATCCATATTTAAATACTGGTAAAGATTATTTACATTTTTTCTTTTTTTTTTTCAATATGTTTTTTTTTTTTTAACTTTTTTAGAGAGAGAGAAAGAGAGATAGAAATATTAATGTGAGAGAGAAATATTGACCAGTTGCCTCCTGCACATTCCCTACTGGGGATGGAGTCCAAGACCCGGGCATGTGCCCTGACGGGGAATCGAACTAGGACCTCTCAGTCCACGGGACAACGCTCAATCCACGGAACCACACTGGCCGGGCTTTCCTACTTTTTCAATAAAACATATAAATTAATATAATTTGTGTTATTTTACCCAGTGGATTATCTTGACGCTCCCAGGGTATATAATCCACTTTTTAAATTATTGATTTACAGGAATGGTTTTCAATCTTTGGGAAGTGTAAGAATCCATATGGAGTTTGCTTGAAGATTCCAAAGCCTTCTCCCAGAGATTCTGATTCAGGGATCTATTGCTTGGGTTGAAGGTCTGCATTTGTCAGATGATGTACCACATGATCATGCAGATGTTCTTGGGACACAGTTGGGAATACCTGATCCATGTATTTGATATTTTTTTTCATCTATAACTCCAGGCTCAAGAAAAATGGAAAAAACTTCTATAGCATGTCTCAGTCAGCTCACGCATAAAATGATTTAGGTTCCATGCTTCCTAGACAAGTGGTTCTCAAGGTTTTGGATTATGGAGACTATATCTAGGTTTCTAGTCTCTATCAATCAGTATTGGCTAGGGTATGCAGCAGTAAAAACCAATCCCTGACTTCCGGTCAAGATGGCAGCGTAGGTAAATGCGATATCACCTCCTCCCACAACCACATCAAAGTTACAACTAAACTACAGAACAACCATCATTCAGAACCACCTGAAATCAAGCTGAGAGGAAGTCCTACAACTACGGAATTGAAAAAGAAGCCACACCCACCGAGACTGGTAGGAGGGCGGAGGTGC